TAGTTAGGATAAAAGTACCATAATCATCCTCGGGCAACGAACACAAAAATAGCATCGCCTTGTCTTCATCCTCAACCATGATATCCACATTGGCCATGTCTGAAAGTAGCTTTGTGAAGTTGTTAACATGCTCCCTAATGGAAACTCCCCTCTTTATCTTGAACTGGTAAAACCTCTTCTTCAAGTGAAGCCGATTCTCAATGCTCTTCGTTAGATACTTCTCATTGAGTGTTTCCCACATTCTTTTCGCCGACGTCTCGTTCATAACGTCATAAATAAGATCCGACGTTAAGCATGACCGAATAACTCCACACACCCTACTATTCATCTTCTTCCAAACTTTAGGTTCCATATCGGCAGGTTTCTCTTGTAACTCAAGAGTCTCCTCCAAATTCTGAGCGTCCAATGCGTCCATCACCTGACACCTCCACAATCCGAAATTAATCTTGCCGTCGAACTTCGGAACATCAATCTTCATGTTATTGATGCTCAAACTATGTATCGTCTTCGTAAGAGACGATCCCGATGTGCTTGTTTCACCCATGTTGTCGATCTAATCTTCAAATAGGAATCCTTCAGCGAATCCTTCAAACAAGCTCCCAAGTCCAACCCGGAGCTCTGATACCACTTGTTGTGCGCATCGGAAATTTGGGCAGCACCTCCGGTGCGCTAGGTGCACAACAAGAGATTAGATCACAATAAAATTCTCGTTTCTCAAAGGAAACAAGAACCAAAAGTCAGATATCTCATCAAAGTGAGATATCAGCTCTTCCTCTCGTCAGCTCTAGGACTGCGCGTCGAGGGAACCTACAAGCTATTACAAATCACGGCAAGAACACAACTTTTACGTGGTTCGGCAAATAGCCTACGTCCACGGGGCAAGGAGGGGGGGATCTACTATTAGAGGGAGAGATACAACTGGGGTTTACAATCACTCAATCTAAACCCTCAAACAAACTCTCAGATCCCTCAAACAAATATCTCTCTCAAAGGGATGCACAAATCAAAGAACAAATACAAAAAGACTTTGCTTCTTCTCTAGCCACCAAAATCTCTGTTCTTTGCACATAAATCAACCGTAAAAACCTTTGCTGTACTGCGCACGAATCAGCCACATCCGCCCAACTTTTCTATGTAGCCGCACACTAATTAGCCGCCACCCCTCAATTCCTGCACCTCCTTCGCACAAAGCCCTAAAATAATACATGGGTATTTATAGTCTGCTAACGAAGGAAGCGGGTGGGCCTTCATCATGCGAAAACGAAACCAATCATGCGGAACAAATCAAAACCGCGAAAACAAAATTCCTTTGCCCAGCACGTGGGCTCGTGGTCCCTACTCACATAAACAAAAACCCCAAAATTATAATGGGACTTGAATGATATGGTTTAATTTTATTCTGACTATGGAAACTAGAGAAAGACATGGGATATTTTGGGGGCTCCAGTGGAAAGGGCTTATTTCTCATTTGCTATGTCCTTTCACAAAGAATGACAATCTATATATAGGCTATCCTCTCCATCATCTTTACCCCAAAATCAGTCTAAATATTATTCCCATTAACTACAAGTTAAGATCATTTTCTGCCCTAATTTAAATTCTCTATTAATGATTCATTATACTCTTATTTTCCACATCGGTTATTTGGTTGATTTGGTCAACCCTACTAACCCTAACATGTCTTTACGAATCTATAAATATCACCTTAGAGCACCTTGCAAATTTACGTCCAGTATGATTGGCTTTGGTTTCTCTGCTACTATATCTTTTTTTTTTTTGAAAGGAAGAAGCAGGGTGAGAACCCCTGCTCATATATTTATATAACTATAGAACCAAAACTGTGGTAAATATATACAAATGAAGACTTAATTAAAGAGGAAGAAAATGAGTCAGGAGAAGAAATTTTCGAATGGGAGCGGACCTTGTCGTCACCAACCAGAAAATTTCTCCACTGACTCCTAACTTCCTAGAGAAGAAAACGAAACAAAAAGAAAACCACATTAGGGGAAAGATCAGGGTTTAGAGCAACTCCAATGGGGCTGCAAAACTCCATTTTGCAGCCCCATGGAGCTCCAACCGGACTCCAATTTTTGGAGTCCGGCTGCAAAATATTTTCTTCGGCTGCATATTTGGAGTTTTTGCTCCAAATATGCAGCTCCCCTCCAAACCACTATTCCCCCTAAAAATTTACAATAATACCCTTCTAACTAACTAATTATTTTTAGATATTCAACTTAAAATCAACATAAGTTTATTTCTACTAATTATTTTTAAATAAAAATTTTACAGTTGGAAATGTTTTGTCGATACCTTCAAAATGAGACTAATATTGAATAATATTAATTGAAATATAAAATTTCAAGAACCAAGTAATTAAAATTGAAAAAGTCATTATTTTATTAGTAAAAAAAATTACATAGCTTCATTTCCATGTCTTTCCCACAAATGTTCAATCAATGCATTTCGAAGTGCAAAATGAGCTTCTTTGTTTTTCAACCTCTTATGTCGAGCAAGAAACCGTTGGAATCGTTCAGTTTCGGTTATCTCCATATTTTCAGCATTCGGAATTGATTGTGGAGTTGAAATGACAACATCTTCTTGCTCGTCGCGTTCATCTTCGACAATCATATTGTGCATTATAATACAAGCAGTCATGATATCATGCAGAGTTCGTTTATCACAAAAACGGGCTGGCCCCTTGATGATAGCAAATCGTGATTGGAGAATACCGAATGCCCGCTCAACATCTTTTCGACATGCTTCTTGCATCATTGCAAAATATTGTTTCTTTTTATCATCGGAATTAGAAATGGTTTGAACAAGTGTTGGCCATTTCGGATATATGCCATCGGCCAAATAATAACCGACATCATAATTTTTTCCTTGAATTGTGTAATGAGCAGGAGGAGCAATACCTTGTGATAGATTGTCGAACAAATTAGACGACTGCAATACATTAATATCGTTATTGGATCCTGGTAAGCCAAAGTATGCATGCCATATCCATAGATCATATGATGCTACTGCCTCAAGAATAATGGTTGGACCTCCATGACGACCTGAGTATTGTCCTGCCCATGCTGTTGGACAATTTTTCCATTGCCAATGCATACAGTCTAGACTTCCTAACATTCCTGGAAAACCTCTTTCTTCGCCCTTTTGCAATAACCTTGCAACATCGTCGACATTGGGAGTCCTCAGATATTCATCTCCATATACTTCTACAATTGCTCTGCAAAATCTCTTTAAACACACAATTGCAGTTGACTCACCGATCCTAACATATTCGTCAGTACTATCTGCTGATGTTCCATACGCCAACATGCGAAATGCCGATGTAACTTTTTGTAAAGTTGATAGCCCAAGTTTGCCGACACCATCCATCTTCTGTACGAAGAAGTTGTCATGCTCACGTACTGCCTCAACTATACGAAGGAATAAACTCCTGTGCATCCGGAACCTTCTACGGAATAGGTTTGCACCATATGTAGGGTTATCAGAAAAATAGTCATGGTAAAGTCGAGAATTACCTTCTTCCCTCCTGCGATTGATCACCAAATGACCAGGAACTGAGCCAATACGCTTTGGCCGCTCTGCCTCTTGAGAGAGATAAGTCATTATTTTACTATTAGAGGCATGTACGCGAGCTAAGAGTTCATCTTCCTTCTCCCATTGTGTCATATCTTCCTCCCAATCTTTAATGTACTGAGACCATATTTCATCGTCAGAAGAAGAAGAAGATGGTAGTTGTGACGGTCCGGCTCCATAGTTCATTGATGAAGAAGTTATTTATAGAAATAATCATATAAGTTCTGAGTTATTTAGAGATGGATGTAATGTCATTATATAATATGACTCCCCGCATTGGATTCTTTTCAGCATTGGCTTCTCACCCCCACATTGGATTCCTTTTGTGTTGGAGACTCCCCACATCGGATTCTTTTCAGTATTGACTTCTCACCCCTCACATTGGATTCCTTTCGTGTTGGAGACTCCCCGCATTGGATTCTTTTCAGCATTGGCTTCTCACCCCCATTGGGGGTCCTCAGATATTCATCTCCATATACTTCTACAATTGCTCTGCAAAATCTCTTTAAACACACAATTGCAGTTGACTCACCGATCCTAACATATTCGTCAGTACTATCTGCTGATGTTCCATACGCCAACATGCGAAATGCCGATGTAACTTTTTGTAAAGTTGATAGCCCAAGTTTGTCGACACCATCCATCTTCTGTACGAAGAAGTTGTCATGATCACGTACCGCCTTAACTATACGAAGGAATAAACTCCTGTGCATCCGGAGCCTTCTACGGAATAGGTTTGCACCATATGTAGGGTTATCAGAAAAATAGTCATGGTAAAGTCGAGAATTACCTTCTTCCCTCCCGCGATTGATCACCAAATGACCAGGAACTGAGCCAATACGCTTTGGCCGCTCTGCCTCTTGAGAGAGATAAGCCCCACATTGGATTCTCCTGGTGTTGGAGACTCCCCACATCTGATCCCTATATAATACTTGCACAATTTTCATATCTCCACCACAACTCTTCTTATTCTATATTCATAACTCTTTACATTCCTCCTTAGATTATGGCATCTAGTCGCGGAAAATCTTTTTTACAAGAAGAAGACCAAGTTTTATGCGCCACATGACTCGAAATTTCTCAAGATCCAGTCATGGGTTCTAATCAAAAGAAGGACAAGCTGTGGGAACGAATTTCTCATCTTCCTTCTCCCATTGTGTCATATCTTCCTCCCAATCTTTAATGTACTGAGACCATATTTCGTCGTCTGAAGAAGAAGAAGAAGAAGAAGAAGAAGATGGTAGTTGTGACAGTCCGGCTCCATAGTTCATTGATGAAGAAGTTATTTATAGAAATAATCATATAAGTTCTGAGTTATTTAGAGATGGATGTAATGTCATTATATAATATGACTCCCCGCATTGGATTCTTTTCAGCATTGGCTTCTCACCCCCCCATTGGATTCCTTTCGTGTTGGAGACTCCCCACATTGGATTCTTTTCAGCATTGGTTTCTCACCCCCACATTGGATTCCTTTTGTGTTGGAGACTCCCAACATTGGATTCTCCTGGTGTTGGAGACTCCCCACATCTGATCCCTATATAATACTTGCACAATTTTCATATCTCCACCACAACTCTTCTTATTCTATATTCATAACTCTTTACATTCCTCCTTAGATTATGGCATCTAGTCGCGGAAAATCTTTTTTACAAGAAGAAGACCAAGTTTTATGCGCCACGTGGCTCGAAATTTCTCAAGATCCAGTCATGGGTTCTAATCAAAAGAAGGACAAGCTGTGGGAACGAATTTCTGCTTTATTTCATGAAAGGATTTCCAATATTTGTAATGCTCAAAGGACTCCAAAGTCTCTTTCATGCCGAATGCAATTAATTATGAAGGCCATCAGTAAATTTCGAGGATGTATTCGACAAGTCGAGCGCTTAAATCCAAGCGGTGCTTCTGAGCTTGACATTGTAAGTATTTTGAATAACATAAATCTTGATTATCATCTACTATCATGTTATTAATAAATGTTTCTTCCTCTCTTGTGGTAGATTAAACGTGCTAGGATAATATTTGCAGAAGATCCAGAAGAGAGAAAGGGGTTTCTATTTGATCATGTTTGGTCAATTTTAAAAGATGCAGAGAAATGGGCAAATATAAGTGTCAGATCGCCTGCAACTTCCAAAACTTCAAAGTCCCGCTCATCTCAGGGATCAGATTCAAGTTCTCCTGTCGTCGACTTAAATGACGATAATGAGGAATATACTCATAATGACGAAGATATGATAACAAGTCGACCGACAGGAAGGAAGAAAGAGAAGATGAGGAGGCGACAAGCAACTGAATCCAACCTCGACTTGGAAACTCTCAATAAAAGCAATTAAGAAATTGTCGATATTTAAAAAAAAAGTCATGGAGAACGAGAAAATGATAGAATAACAATGCACCAGATTATGATGTTAAGGGCCGAAAACGAAAAGAAAAAATTAGATATTCAAAGGGAACGCCAGGAAAGTAAGATTATGTTGATTAATCTTGATACTATTACTGATCCTTCGGAACGCGAGTATTTTCGAATTAAAAAACAAGAGATTTTAAATAGAAACACAACCGGAGGTTCTTCATCTGATATTCCTAATCCTGAATATAGTTATGCAGGAAGTCAATACGGAATACCTGACTACAGAAGCGGTGGATATGGAGGAAATGGCCTGCCCGATTTTTAGTTTTTTTCATGTACTTTATTTTCATGTACTTTCTTTTTCTATGTAATGCCGCTGAATGTAATATATAAAATTTCATCATTCGGAGTAGCTGTGAAGGTTGTTCCAAATATTATGCTATATTTTCTGCTTTTTAAAATTTAAAGGCTCTTATCTATGTCTTATTATCAATTTATTAAAGATAATTACTTTTATTTAAATAATGAGTATATTATATATTATACTTTTAGTATTAATTTATAATATATTTTATATTTTAAATTAATTCATATAATTTTTTAACATTTATATTTTTTATATTTTCAAATCTATTTAAAGTATTAATAAAAGAAATCAATTAAAAATGCAAATAGAGCTTCATATAGAGGAGGTGGTTGGAGTTACCCCCCTCTAAAAAAGCATATGCCCAAGAATATGCTTTGGGGAGGCTGCATTTTGCAGCCTCCCCATTGGAGTTGCTCTTAGTTATACCAAATCTCCAAAATTATGATGAAGATCAAGGGTTATAATGTTTAACATTAGTTAACACAATTTAATTCTTTTAGCCTAGATCCTCTAAATCAATGTAAGATAACGGATGAATAGTTGATTCCAAGGTGAAAGAGAGAGAAGGGGTTATATCTCGAAATATTCAAAGAACATTTTCCTTTTTTGATAATTCACTTTAGAATTAAACCTGGGACTGAGGGAGAGTCATTAAAATCTCCCGAATATTTCAGGTCATTTGTGATTAGCTAATTTATCCTATTTATTATTGGATCTTTTTAATTTGTCGACAATATAGAGGTCACATGCATGGACCGACTTTATGGATTACATAAACTCGATCTATCTCTCATTGGACCAAATGATTTTGGCACTTTGCTGCACTTGAATGTGATAACTTGTCTCATTACTAGCTCATATATAATTGACTTGTCTCATTAATTACTAGCTCATTACTGAAGTGGGACAATGATTCTACCTTGAAAAGATGGAGAAGTGAGGAAGCAAAATCGTAGTTATGTAGTTCACTTATAATATTAGCGGGTTCTGAAAATATCGCTCCAAAACTATATTCATCATTAATTTGCAGATTCTGGGGGTTTCCCTGTCTTTTTAACTGTATTAATTTCATATTGGTCCCTCATATCTTTCATATTTGAGATGTCCCTAAGCTTTTATATTTGAAATTAATCCCCCAAATCTCTGATATTTGTAGTTAGTCGCTCAAATCTTTATATTTTGCTTTTAGTTCCCTGAAGCTTGAAGTGCATGTTTGCTACTAGTTCCTCAATTTGGATGGACTAATTTAAAATAATTTAAAAGATTTAGGGGATTAATCTTCTTGTGTAGTTTTCTTTGCATTTCAAGTTTCATAGGTAAATGGGGCATCAATTTCCATAAATTTTTGCATGTAATGGTATAAATATGAATTGAAATTTATATTTTCATATGGTTTTAAAATTTTGTGTTGGAATTGTCAAATGAACTTCTTCCAATTTCACAAAGTCTTACATTAAGAAATAGTTATTGTAAATTACGTAAACTTTGCCCCAGATGATCATGTGGCAACCATGAGGGAATATTCCACGAATATTCTAACGTTCAACTACAGATGTATCAACATGCATGAAATATTTAGAAACTTTAGGATATTTAAATGAAGGGCTTTACAAGTGAGGGTGTTTACGTATAATATTGGGTAAAAATAGTGGAGAATTTATATATGTGTGTGCATATGTTGCAATGCATAAAGTCAGTTCATAATGCAGTGGCTTAAGAGTTAGAATACCTAAATTTAGCGTTTATTTAGCAGGGGTGGGCCAGGCACGTACGTGCAATAGTGCAAAACACATGCGACGATGGCGGGCCCCAGTGGACCCATGATCCTCATTTCAGATATCAAGCTCATAGGAACAAATACTACACTTAAAATCTTAACCGTAGGGCCGAGAAAGGTATGATTAATTGCGTTAATAACGTCTAAATTTATTGGAAATCTCCTCACCTCGCACGTCGTCGCAGCCAATGTGGGACTAAAAAGTTCATTTCAGAGCGCATAAAAGGGACACGTACATGACCAAATAATTAATACTTACAACTTACAAGCAACAACTATTTTCATTATCGTAGTGACTACATCTGCTAATTTACAAAAAGAACAACAGGCATGTCCTTCAACTACACACAGTCTGCAGGGGCACCGACTACCGTATCGCTGCATACATCAAATCCTCTCTTAGCTTCAGCTGTTCTTCGCCTCTGTATCAGCTCCGCTATCATGTTGCCGGTGTCAACATAGGATGACCCTCCCTTCCCCACTGCGAGCCGCGCCTTTTCTCCGAGCTCCTTCGCCCTCTTCCTCCTCTCCTCAGCCTCCTCCCCTCCGCCCATCACCCTCTTTACAGCCCCCTCCACT